AAAAAAATTCCTTCAGTTTTAAATTACGAAATGCATTATATAGTATAATATATAGAATGCGTTTTTTGAGTTCTTCGATTCAAAATAACGGAATTTTTCACCGATGAAAATATTACATAACTTTTATAATACAAAGTGCTAATATTATAAATCGGGACAATCGAATTATGTGCTGCGTGTTTACTGTTTTTTAGGCTCGATCGCCCACCGACTTGTTCAGTCTTTCTTGCATCTCTAGCCTTTCCCACCGTGTCAGATTCAACCGTGACCAAATCCTGATGCTGACACACCCCAGAATCATCTTCTTCACTCAATGGCGACGCGGGACATCATCAAGCTCCGCCTAGTGAGCAAAACGCTACAACAGAAGTCAGCGAGCCTAATTAGCATATAAGAGCGTGCGACAATTAACATAACACGCTTCAAGCACGTTACAAGTAACTTTACCCTAGACCGGTGCCGATGAGCAGAGACAAAAGATTCGTAAAGAATAGGGTGTAAATGACCTCCTTGGAAAACAATCCGTTTTTGCCAACCTTTGCGGTGGCGGATGCTGTATGTTTTCCTCTTACTGCCCAAGGGATGCTTAAATTTCCAGTCTCTGTAAAACGATAAGGCAGATCGTCGAGGTGACTGCGGACGCGTGGCAAAATTTCTTTTACAAATGTACGATGTAATTTGCGGACAAATGTTTCAGAATATGACATAACTAAAATTAGCATGCTAACTTTTATGCTCTTTTATCTCTTGATTTACTTATATATATGTATATCATAGACATTCAAGTGTAACAGCAATTTGTTAAAAATAATCAATAGCAATTTTAATCATGATAAATAATTAATAATGCGAAAAGCATAAAAAATCTATTTTCACACAAAGACATTTAACTGTCAAATCAGAATATCATACTTTGGCGGCGCCTGGTCCGTCGCGAGCTCCATTCGTAGATCCAATCCGTGTTCTTTTCTAGAAGTTCGCCCTCCTGCAAATACGTATTTCGTTAAACTTTCGTAGCGATCGACGGAAAAATTTCGCTTCGTCTAGCAGGAAAAAACGAGGAAAACTCAAATCAATCTTTTAGGAATACATCATAGGAGATTAAATCATCGACGATTAAGGCAGAAAAGAACATTGAGTAAGTTAAAATTTTTTTAAACGAAAAGTTAAAAAGTTCATCAAATTCTTTACTTAAGTTAAAGTTGCATTAACAATTTAACTTACAAGGGACATGTCACAACTGTCCGGAACCGATTTGATTCTCCTTGAAATATGTTGTTAAATACACAAATCTAAAAGACACGTATTTTTTTATACGTGCGCAATTTGAGTTTTAAGGGGTGAAACACCCCTTTAAAGAATAACGGTATTTTTCTTTAGGATCAAATATCTGCTAAACTATAAGAGATATAAAGAAAAAACGTACAACAAATTTTAATGGCTTGAAGAGTACTTTAAAGTTATATGAACAAAAATTTTTTTTTTTTTTTTTTTTTTTAAAAAACCCTCACCACCTAATTTTTTTTTTCAAAATTAAAAATTTTGTTTTACCTAATTTAAAGCTTATTTTTTTCCAAATTCAACCATGTGTAATAAAGTTATGTTACGAAATATCATTTTCGAAAATTAATTATAAACGCTCCCGTATATACGCTCATCCGTGCTATGTGCGTAAGTAATTACCGTCGAACAATAAAATATATAAAAAATGTTTTTGTATAATTCTTATTTATGTTTTCTATGTATTTATAACTGCGTATTGTGTATATTTAGATTTAAAAAAAAATTTTTAAATATAATTAATAAGAATTTTTTAAATATACCCCCTGCTTTCTTATTATTTCTTTAATATTTAATTTCTTCTATAAAAATTAAAAACAATTATATTTTATAATAAAATTATTTTTTAATTGAATCTTGCGAATACCAATGTCGCAATATTTGGCATAAACAAATTTTATATCTTACGTTAAATGAATCATAAGATAAGATTATGTGTACGTGTTCCAGATAAGTTATAATTTTTACAATAAAATCTTTAATACGTTAAAATAAATAATAAAATAAGATTATGTGATGACGTATTTCTGATAAGTTAATATAAATTGTTCATGTAGCAGCATAATTCTCACAGTCGGTGTAGTCTTTTCGTTGTAATAATATCTGTGTAAACTGTTCTTTTATTGCAATAGAAAGCAAAATATAACATCTTTGAATATGATTATCAATCCGCTTAACGTTGTTAGACTTTTATTGGTGTCAATAAATTCAATATATTTAACAGAAACGCCAGTAACTGAAGCAGAAGTGGAATTAAAGGAAAACATTAAAAAAATATTACTGGATAGCGTTTTTCATTATAATGGGGTGGAAGTAACGGAAGAAATATATCTCGATTATGAAGAACCTTATAAATTACATAGTTTTGAAATAATTGAAGATGACGAAGAAGCATGGCATGAAGATAGTTTAAATTCTCATCCTCATTGTTCAAATGATGATACAAATTTTGATAGTTCTTATAAAAGACGAGCTGTTGAGTATTGGCGATTTCGGGACACTGATGAAAACAGTAATGACAGAAAAAGGAATCGTCCTCTAAGAGTAGTACAAAATAAATTTAGAAGAGTTTCATCTGAACGTCAGTTAAGGCGATGGGAAGAACAAATACAATCAGGTGGAAGTCGTACAGAAAAATTATCTTACATCTCCAAATTTACACATGATAAATTTACTGCAGCTGTCGAATCAGGATTCATGGTTCATGATATTGATTTAAAAAGATGGGCTTTACAAGCTCAAGAAGAAATAGGAAATTTAAATCCTATATTTAAAGCATCTCACAGTTGGATAGCAAGATTTAAGAAGTCTCACCGAATTGTTTCAAGAAAAGTTACGAAGTTTGTCACTAGAAGAACATTAGAAGATTCTGCTGATTTGCAAAAATCAGCTGATGATTTTCTGGAAACAGTAAAACCTCTTATTGAACAGTTTGGATCTGAAAATATTTACAATTCAGATCAAAGTGGTTTCCAATTGGAACTTCACTCTGGAAGATCATTGTCTAACCAGGGAGAAAAGAAAGTAGAACGTGTCGTGCAATCCATATCATCAACAACCCATTCATATACGATACAACCAATAATATCCTGTAATGGCAATTTGTTGTCCCCTTTATTTATTGTATTAAAAGAAGCTAATGGTAAATTTGGACCAAGAGTACAAGAAAATTTATTTAAAGCAGAAAATGTTATTGTAAAAGCATCGAAATCTGGTAAAATGACATCAGGTATTTTCCTTTTATAATTACTTTTTTTAACAACCTTATTTTATTTAACAATTTAATAAGAGTCATAAAAAAACTATTAAATTAACATTTATATTTTGTACAGATCATTTTAAAATGTGGTTAGAAGAAGCTTATTTCGCAAACATTGGTCCTAATAGCGTTCTTCTTATCGATTCATGGACTGGACATTGCCCCAATATGATTTCGGATTTAACACCTCCTGGAACACATATTACTACTATGATAATACCGAAAGGAACTACAGGGAAAATGAACCATGAATCCTGATTCGACAGCTGCAGTAAATTTATCATGTGTAAATTTGGAGATGTAAGATAATTTTTCTGTACGACTTCCACCTGATTGTATTTGTTCTTCCCATCGCCTTAACTGACGTTCAGATGAAACTCTTCTAAATTTATTTTGTACTACTCTTAGAGGACGATTCCTTTTTCTGTCATTACTGTTTTCATCAGTGTCCCGAAATCGCCAATACTCAACAGCTCGTCTTTTATAAGAACTATCAAAATTTGTATCATCATTTGAACAATGAGGATGAGAATTTAAACTATCTTCATGCCATGCTTCTTCGTCATCTTCAATTATTTCAAAACTATGTAATTTATAAGGTTCTTCATAATCGAGATATATTTCTTCCGTTACTTCCACCCCATTATAATGAAAAACGCTATCCAGTAATATTTTTTTAATGTTTTCCTTTAATTCCACTTCTGCTTCAGTTACTGGCGTTTCTGTTAAATATATTGAATTTATTGACACCAATAAAAGTCTAACAACGTTAAGCGGATTGATAATCATATTCAAAGATGTTATATTTTGCTTTCTATTGCAATAAAAGAACAGTTTACACAGATATTATTACAACGAAAAGACTACACCGACTGTGAGAATTATGCTGCTACATGAACAATTTATATTAACTTATCAGAAATACGTCATCACATAATCTTATTTTATTATTTATTTTAACGTATTAAAGATTTTATTGTAAAAATTATAACTTATCTGGAACACGTACACATAATCTTATCTTATGATTCATTTAACGTAAGATATAAAATTTGTTTATGCCAAATATTGCGACATTGGTATTCGCAAGATTCAATTAAAAAATAATTTTATTATAAAATATAATTGTTTTTAATTTTTATAGAAGAAATTAAATATTAAAGAAATAATAAGAAAGCAGGGGGTATATTTAAAAAATTCTTATTAATTATATTTAAAAATTTTTTTTTAAATCTAAATATACACAATACGCAGTTATAAATACATAGAAAACATAAATAAGAATTATACAAAAACATTTTTTATATATTTTATTGTTCGACGGTAATTACTTACGCACATAGCACGGATGAGCGTATATACGGGAGCGTTTATAATTAATTTTCGAAAATGATATTTCGTAACATAACTTTATTACACATGGTTGAATTTGGAAAAAAATAAGCTTTAAATTAGGTAAAACAAAATTTTTAATTTTGAAAAAAAAAATTAGGTGGTGAGGGTTTTTTAAAAAAAAAAAAAAAAAAAAAATTTTTGTTCATATAACTTTAAAGTACTCTTCAAGCCATTAAAATTTGTTGTACGTTTTTTCTTTATATCTCTTATAGTTTAGCAGATATTTGATCCTAAAGAAAAATACCGTTATTCTTTAAAGGGGTGTTTCACCCCTTAAAACTCAAATTGCGCACGTATAAAAAAATACGTGTCTTTTAGATTTGTGTATTTAACAACATATTTCAAGGAGAATCAAATCGGTTCCGGACAGTTGTGACATGTCCCTTGTAAGTACAAAAAATACAAAGTTGAGTAAGTAATGACTTTTAAAACTAAACTGAGTTAAATAAATTTGTTTTATAAATTTAATTTAGTTTACTTATTTATTAACTAAAATTGCATAATGAAAATTAACGTCTTAAAATAAGTTAAGATTAAATTAACTTGGTTAAGTTAAAGTTCATTTTTTAAAATTATTATAATATGTATATTAAAATTATAATTTTTGTTTGTCATTTTTTAAAAATTAAGGAAAAATTAATAATAACAAAAAATTTCGATTTTTATACACGAAAATCTTTTTTATGTTCAAGCAATTGCTTATATATAAACAAAAATTAATTGATAATAACAAGGCCGAATCGATCTGATAAAAGAGATGTCAGTAACTAACCATTTCTTACACATAAATTACCAAACTACAGTCATTTAATTAAAATAAACAACGCAAATTTAACGCAAATTACAATCATTCTTCGTTTCTACCGCACGCGGTCTTCTTCAGTATAATTATGAAAAATATTCTTACTCTTCACTGATATCGAAATTTAATATAGTTTATTCAGAATCGAGAGTTTTTGAGCAATTATCGCGTGTTTCAATCCGTCCTGTCCAACAATGTTCGCCTCGATATGATCTCTGATTTTTTTCAGATCTCGGTCTCATCATCGTTAATAGCGAGAAATTAACCCGTACCGTAGGCGCTGCGATTAATAAGAAATTACCGATCACGTATGTCCAATTATATATATATCCCTTACAATTGGTAGAATGCTTACCTATATCGTTTCTTCTGACAATTTTTCTACTTATTAACATTTTTATTAGGATGACAACTTAACCAACAACAATACAGAAATACAGCTCATTTTAATGTTT